CCTGCGACATCGGTCACGCACACACCTCACCCTCCTTCAGGTAGATTCCTCCTAAAACTTTTTCTTCATGCACCTATGCTTGTCATTCTTAATCTGTTTTTACTGCGAGTAAAAGGGATCTTAAATTAAAACCTCTCAAGGTATATTTTTTTCTATACTCATACATTATAGCTATTATAATTTTTTTGTATCTAGTCTCAGTCATGTCAGTTAGTCACTATTTAAAAGCGAAGTTTTATATCTTTTATTTATCAAATGTAATTTTATTTATCTATCTAATTTGTTTAAGAGTCTGTTATTTCATTTTATGCTGTTTTAGCTTATTAATCGAGAGTATTCATCTGGATACTATGAATAATACCAACCATAACAAGTTTTTAATAATCCTATTTATGTAATTATAACTTCAATACTACTTCATCTGATTAGTTTATCATTCTTAATATTATCTAGTAATAGTTGTATTTACTTTCATGAATAATCATATGCATGGCTAAATATATATATTTATATACTCCATTGTGTTATTTATCAAATTTAATTTATCTATTATCAAATATACGTATAATCTTAATATTATTCTTAGATTTTATAAAGTAATAGAAAATTAAATTCCCCCGTATTTATTACACAACTCCACTAGTAGTAGACTTGTAAAAAAAAAAATTCTGTTGCTCGTTTTAATATTATGTGCAGTGTGAGATTCGTAATTATGTATAAATAGATTATAATTATTGTGATTAATAATTGTATTAGACAAAGTTTTTAGAATTTTCTACTGCTTGATTATTCACATTTAATTACCAAATTTTAGGGTTCTTTTTTATTACTTCTAACGTTCACATTCTCTATTGTATCCTGTTTGTAATAAATATGATATCTTGCATTCTCTACTTCAGATCACTGCTATGTTAGAATCATATTCTAGTAATTAGTTCTAACTACTCTCCCTCTCTCGCTTAGTACATTCACTATTACCTATCACACATCTTTCTCGGCATCATCTATACTAATCCAATCTAATCTCTCTCCTCATTGCCTCTTTCTCTTTCTCACCAAAATATTTTACATAATAAATTCACTGATGGACCATGCAAGGTCATCAACCATTCACACATGTAATAACTCCCAAAACACATCCGTTTTCTGTTGCCACGAATACATAATAATACAGCCCGATAACCTCAGAAATATTAACACTAAGCACCTCACTATCCACCTATATCTCTCACAACAGAACAATACACAAAATCAACTTAGTCATTTATCTATCTCACGTACTCAATATAATTTCGCGATACATCCTCTCCCATTTGAGTCTGAATTCAAAACCATTAACACACATAAATAATCAACTAGTATAACTGCGAGTGGAATTACAGATAAGAACTTAGTAATAGAAAAATAAATTATCAATCCGCCACATAATACAAAACCACTTGTCTATCTAATCACTCAAGCTCGTAACCAATTGCTATGACCCCGGTGATTGCGAGCTCTAAAAGAACTACAACTTGTCTACTTTTTCTTTCTTTCTTCGGCTCATTAAGCATACGGACCGGAAATGCTTAACTAAAGTTGAGATATTCTGTGATAATTTGGCGAACATTCCTCGTCCTTCTTTCATTATTTCCGGGATGTGGTTTTCAGTTGGAGTTTAATTCATTATTGTTTTTGAATTATCATTATTAGTATTATTATTTTGTGCAATTTCATTGTATGCGATAGGACATACGTATAATTTTTGATATCAATGATTATAGTTGCTGTTATGATTATACAAGGATAATTATAATTATGACATAAAAGTGTTGTGATAATTGTGAATTCCTGGATATAAAAGATCATAGATGATATTTAGAGGCGATTAACTTTAATTCTAAGATATCGATGATAAAATATAAGTAAAGGAAGTATGAAGTAAAAAGTTTCTTGGAATTTACATCATAATCAGCGTAAATAATAGATTTTCATAGGAAAAGGACAGTTTTCCCCGTCCGCGGTTTCGTTTCGAAAGTGTCCCCAAGGAGGTTAGTCGATCCTTCCTGGGCCAAGGACTCGTCGGTGTAGAGTTTCGGTCGAGTCATCTGCGGGGGTTTGAGGGAAGGGGTGATGTATTAGCTAAGAGGTTTGAAATCGAGAGTAGCATTAGTAGAAGTGTATAATACAAATAGATCAGTTGTAATCATGTATTATAAATGTATGATATACGAAATTATAGCGGTTACTCTCTCGTCGTTAATCAGCAACACACATAGCTTGTCGTGCGATCATATCTCCTGTCTGTGTGCGTCTGTTGTCTTCGTCTCGTTCTTCGTTCTCGATGTGTTCGTGCGGTGTTCTGTGTAAGTGTTCTCGTCTCGTTTCATTTTGTTGTAGTCTCGCGCTTCTCTAGCTCGTGCTTACGCGTTTTGTTCTTGCTCAATCGTCTCATAATTCTCTCATCTGCAATCTATCCTCAATCGGAAGCTCTGATCTGCTTTTCTTTCTTATTCTCTCCTTTCTCTCTCTCTTCTTCTATCTCTCTTCTTTTAATTAATACTTATTTATCTCACTATCACACACTCTCTCATCGTGCCACTCGGTTTCTGCTCACTGTTTAGTGAGTTGTTTGTCTATTTTCTGTCCTACCTCCCTCTCTTCTCCTTCATCTCCTCTCTCCTCATTTCCTCATTTCATGCCTACTATTGCTTCTCTGTTCCCTCTCACTCATTATTTCTTCCATCCCTCCCTTTCTCTTTCTCTCCCTCCTTTACTCCCCTTCCTTTCTCCATACTTCTCTCTTTCTCCCTCCCTATATATACGTATCCATACAGCTAAACACGGAAACGCTAACCTCTTCAAAAGAATTAAATACAAAGAAGGAAATGAGAGAAGACGAGGAAGACGAAGAAAGAAAAGAAAAGAAAAAAAAAAATCAGGCTAAAAATGTCTTCTCGTTGCTATTGCATAACATTATCAAGAGGATTTTTTTTTTCTTTTTTCTTTTTTTTTAACGCGAATGGGATCAGCTTCTCCCTTCACTTTCTACGTTCACCCTTTAAATGCTGTCTTCCTAATGTCTTCTCCGGTTGTGTATTGAGGTTATTGAGTTAATATCAACTTGATTAACATTTTGGCTGATTATTCGTGTTTTTTATTTTTTTTCTCATACTATTTTTTTTTTTTTTTTTGCGGGTGAAGGAGGAGGCATGATGTAAGCCTTGTCTATTTTTTTTTCTTTTGGTCTTGAATGAGTTAATATCAACTTGATTAAGAGTTTGGCTGATTATTCGTGTTTTTATGTCCATTTTTTTTTCTGTCAGTGTGCTTTCTTTGTCTCTCTTTATATATGTCTCTCTTTCTCTCTCTCTCTCTCTCTCTCTCTCTCTCTTCTCTCTCTCGTCTCTCTCTCTCTCTCTCTCCTCATCTCTCTCTCTCTCTCCTCTCTCTCTCTCTCTCTCTCTCTCTCTCCTCTCTCCTCTGTCTCTCTCTCTCTCTCTTCACTCTCCCTCTCCTCGGTCTTCATCTTCTTCTCTCTCCCCCTCCCTCTCCCTCCCTCCTCTCCCTCTCTCCCCCTCTCCCTCTCCTCTCTCTCTCTCTCTCCTCTCTCTCCTCTCTCTCTCTTCTCTCTCATCTCTCTTCTTATCTCTCTCATCTCTCTCTCTCTCCTCTCCTCCTCCCTCCCTCTTTATCCTATCTCGTCCTATCTTAATCTCTCCATCGTTCTCTCTCTCTCTTCCCTCCCTCTCCTCCCATCCCTTGCTTCCCGCTTTCTAGCTCTCCTCCTCTCCGACCTCGCCCTCTCTCTCGTCTCCAAACCCCTCTTTCGTCTCCCCTACCTTCCACTCTTCCGTCTCTATCTACTCCTTCTTCCTTTCCATTCCTCTCCCTCCTGGCCCAATCCTTTTCTCTTTTCCCACTTCCCTCATCCTCCTTCCCCGCCTCTACCTCTTACCCCTCTTCCTGCTCATCCTCGTCTTCCCTTTCTCCCCATCCCTTTCGCCCTCACGAACCCCTCTCACCGTGGAAAATCGACCTGCATGATCTCCACCCCATCGAGGTTCAGGTCCTGGTTGTAGTCGTGAGCCAGGAACAAGTGGTATTGTTTCTCCGACGGCGACATGGTCTTGGGGTCGAGGTGGGGCATCTCGGCGAGGTGTTCGTCCAGGAGGCGGTCCCTGTTTGCGACGGCGGAGAGGAAGGGTCAGCAGAGGTCAGGAGAGGTCGCGGTGAGGGAAGGTGAGGAGGTGTTGGTGTTGGTTTATCGGAGTTTTGTAAGATTCGTGGGCGGATTGTTATGATGGTGATGATTGTGAATGAAGAAGATTGCAGATGGCTAGGATAAATGTGGATTGGAAAAACGGGTTGAAAGTAATAAAGTGCAAGGTAAATATGAGGCGATGATGATATTGCAAAAAAATATACGTGTTGAAAATCAGTAGATAAATGGCTAGATAGACTGACAAATAAGCACTTAAATAGATTAATAAATTTCGATTATTGTGTTATTTCTAGGTTGGGGTTAAGCGGCTACAGTGTCACATCCCCTTAGCAACAGCAAGAACAACTCCAACACGCGTTGAGAGGGACATTACCACAAAATACAAAGGGGAAAGCAAAGGCC